GACAGTTATTTACATGACTATGGAACCAAAACATTAATCACTCATAATTCATGAATATTTTTTTAATTACGATGAATGTTTTTTTAATAAATATTCATGAAGTTTCATAGTTCATGAATTTTAATAAATATTATTATCTCATCATAATTAATGTATTGGTTCATGTTTTGAATCAAAATTTGATGTTTTTTAGGTTGTTTTAAGTTGGTTATTTTGAAATTTAGATCCTCTTAGATAATTTTGATGTTTCGATATTATTTGTTAGTTTTTGTTATTCAAACATGTTTAGTTATGGTTATGTAATTTGTTATAACGAAGAAAACATGTTTTAAAAGTAAACAATTCTAGATTTGGAGACTTGGAGGAATATTGTTTTTCAAGGTTATTTCTAGGTGGCTAGGAAGTATTATTTATGTTTTCGAAAAGAACATTGCTTTATCTCTATAATTTGAACTAGTTTTGATCCAATTCTTTTTAAAGAATCCTTTGAGCAACTTTATTAATCAATAATGTATGGTTTATTTATATCAATAACATATTTTTAGTAAGTTTTCATCATAGGTTTTCAGTTTTGAATCAAAGTTCATTTTGTCAAAATCATAATTTTTTAGTGATAATCAAATTGCATGCATTTTAGATTATTTATCATTACATGATTTTCAACATATATATATCTTTGGTTTGTCTGTATGTGATCTAATTTGAAATCTATGTTGCTGAGTTCATGTTGAATGTTCTTCGGTGTTCTTTATTTTTCATGTTAAACTAATGGACTTTGGTTTGGTTTATGGTTGAACCAAAAGTTTCAAGTTAACTCGGTTATGTTAAAATCAGGTCAAAACACAAGATCTTATTTGACTAGCAATATTTTTACGAAAAGCTTTCTTTGGATTAAAAGCATGTTTGACAAACACCCCTTAAACCCATTTTAATCGTTTTGGTTTTAAGGAAAAATGAGTAAAAAAAATAAAAATACTAATAAATTTATGCTTGTTACATACAACCTCATCCTTATGAAAAAATTGTATTTTATTTATAAAAAAGAGAAAAGAAATTAAAATTGTTTTAGAAATGTTTTTGTATTCTTTGTATATTTTTTTGAAATTTATAACAAGTATGTAAAATTCCTTAAGGATTTGGCCAATTCTTTCAATAACCTTAAGTTTTAATGGCCACCATTCTAGTATAAATATTATACCTAAAAGTAAGTTGATATTTAAATATCAAAAGTTGACTAGAAAATTTTAAGAATTTTTTGAATATTCATTCATTTTAATTGGAAGTATTTTTCATCACAATATACGATTAGTACAAAATGATTTTGCCTTCTAGAATAAGTAAACCTTATACGGATACTTACATGGATTCTTCTTATAAAATTTTATCTAGGTATATGAGCCCATTATAAATTCAGAATGCCAGATTTATTCTTGAGTGTAATTCTTTTTTCTAAGCCATTGACGGACCATCAATTATGAATTCATCAACACCTTTAAACTATATATAGACCACACAATGTAGTTTATCTCAGATAAAATACGTTAGGGGTGTTAATATCTTTTTTAACCACAACTAGTCATTTACCCTGAAATTTCAAATAAAAACAATCAATTTGGGTTTCTTAGTGACCCTCGGCCAAAATATTAGGTGGTGACTCCATGTTCCCAACATCTCGCCATACCGCATGCGTATATGCAACACACAATTTGAACTTCTTTTTTTTTAATAATGTCACATTTTTTGTTTTTGAATTTATTTTACTTAAACATTCGTTTGTTTTTGTGTCCTTTGTTGTAGTCTTAAAAGCTATGTTTTTTATATCAAATATGGAGATTTGCTTTTTTATAGGCATTATCAAGCTTGAGATGATAAAATTGTTATAGAAAACTTATTTGATTGCTTAAGCCTTCAAGTCATTTGAGGGTCGTTTGAAATAGCTGTCAAAGCATGATAGAGACTAGTTAGACATTTAGGTCTCATTTATTTGCTGAAAATTAATTTTTTTTTTGGAAAATAAATTCTAGAAAAGTGAATTTTGAGAAAGTGAATTATTTTTTGATGTTTGGTAGTGTAATGAAAAATAAGTTAACAAACACTTTCCAGTATTTTGTTATGTCATGAAAAATGAGCTGGAAAATAACTTATTAATATTTTATTTTTTTCAAGTTTATTAAAATAATGAGGAACAAATCTTATAAATTAAAAGGTTGAATGAGAATGAAATTGAAAAAATAATATAATTTCATAAATTATCTCAAATAAAATAAATAATAATCAAAATAATAGAGATCAAATCTAACAAATAAAAAAATTGAAAGATAAAAAAAAATTAAAATAACAATAATTATTATTTTATAAATTATTTAAAATAAAATAAGTAACAATAAAAAAATAAGGTTCAAATTTGATAAATAAAAAAATTTAATTAAAAAATATAAGAAAAAAATAAATAACAATTATAAAAATAAGGATCAAAGTTAATATAAAATTAAATTCTAAAAAATTAAATTAAAAAAAAATATTAAAAAAAAAACATATTAAGGAAGGCAACCTTCAAACCTGGCATTGAGTCTAGTATAAATCTCTACTAATGGATCTCCTAATTCGTTCCATGTGACTGCCAACCAAAGAAACATGGAATATATCTCGCCATTTCTAGATAGGAATTTCATCCAAAGTAAATCCTTTTCTAGGTTCTAGAGAGGATTTTTAGTGAAAATTGGCATTAACATCATCAGATTTGAAGGCAAATTCTTCCATATTAATTTCCTCATCAACCGCTGAAGTAATGATTTGCTGCGAAGTATAAGGATACGGTTGAGAAGGGGGAGGTTCAGCGATAAAAAAATTCAACAAAGTTTTTTGAAGTCGAATAACTGTCATCATAAGTAATGCTTTCTAAAGAGAATGAAGTGTCAGAGGTTGATATTTGGAGAATTGGTTCAATAGGTTGATGGATGATATCAGATTGCTTTAGAAAAGCTGAGATGGGGTTAGAGTTGTCGATGGTTTGGATTTCAACTATTGTTTTTTGTTTATTATCTTAAAGAGGAAATGATGGGTTTATGTTTTGAGTTTGTTATGGTGTTCGAGTTATAGGTTTCTTAGTGTGGATTCTTTTATGAGTCTTTATAAGATTGATACATGTAAATGTTGATTTTTTTTCAAAGATCTACATAATTGTTTGATCCATGATAGGAAGAGTTTTCTGAAGCTGGTCTTCTATCCTTTCTGTTTGATTGCAAAGCATTTTGTTCTATGTCAAGGCATTCTTAGATTGTCAGTTGAGAAGTGCTTCTATAGGTGGTTGAGAAAGTTCTTGAGATCCATCAGGATTCTGTGTGACAGAACCTTTTGCTTTCTAAGCATGCTTAGTTTTTTATTTTGTAGAATTATAGACTAGACGAGGAAATTATTCCTCGTAGTCTTGATACATGTAACGTTATTGTAGTTGTGGAGGAGGAGAAGATGGTCATTCATGTACTCTTGCCTTGCAAGGAGAATGAAAGTTATTGACCTTTTTTTATTATTTTATTAAAGAACATAATAATCAGATTCTTCTTGAATGTTCACCAAGTAGTTTAACTTCAGGGTCTTCATTTTCAAATCTTTCTTTGAGGATTGCTACAAACTCTTCTTTTTTCTTTTATTAGAAGAGCAATTAGAATCTTTAGTATAAGCAATATAAACAGAGCAAGCATAGTCAAGATCAAATAATTTATGCCCATCTTCAGATTGTGCCTTGTAAACAAGAATTCCATCCGATAAAAAATGTTGAATAGGAATAGGGAGTGGACAAAAGTCATCATCAATAATCAACTAAGATATTTGATGATGTGGATGCTCTAGACTCTTTAAAGAAAGACATCTAGAATGATCTATCCTTTTTAGTGATGAAAATTAGGTTGGAATTTTATATGGGCTTAACATTAGAATGGCATTGTTCATAGTTTGTCACCCAAGAGTCTAGAAGGAGCTGAATAAGCTTGTCTCGAGACAATTACTGAGGAACGAAGGTACAAGTCGAAGTTTTTCCTATTTCAACGGTCAACAAGAGAGAGTTTTTAATTGGAAAAGGAGTTTATAAGTCCAAGGCATGATTCTAGACAAGATAAGCAAGCTAGCTAAGCATGAAGAGTGGCTGAGTATGCATTGGAGTTCATAAGAGCACCAATGATTTGGACTTGATCTTTTAAAGCCCCAAACATGATTGGGATTTGCTAGAGGGGTGCAAGAATTAGGATATAGTGTTAGAGACATTGTTCCTGAGGGTTGTTTGGAGGGTGGCCAAACATGCTTGTAGTATTTAACAAAGTGAGAGTCATGTATTGCCTTTCTTGTAACAGTAGGAAGTCCTTTTTTATCATGGAAGGTAAGAGAAAGTCGTATGACTTTTCCTACCATGGAAAGTAAGAGAAAGACGCAAGACTTCTATATGAACATGAGTGCATCCTCGAGGGAATATTAAATTCATGGGGAAAACATATGATGATAAGGTGCTCTGTGGAAGAAAACAGGATTAGATGCTAGTCGAACCATGAAGCTTGTACAAATTCCTACAGATGAGGAGATATATATAGGTCGTATTGACGTTTTAAGAGTGTTTTTTTGAATAAGAGTAGACTTATTTTTTTTAATATTCTATAAGGATGAACCAGAGAAATGTTTATGTCTGGGATTCTACAATTTTCACTTAGATGAGAGATTTCGTACAAATAATCTAACATATAAGTTGAGTTAGATCTCAGAGATAAAGAGGAAAACGATCGAGATGGAAAAATAAAGTGTACTGATATAGACATCGGTAATTCTAAAGACATTATTACTAGAACATCTGCAACCTGCTTTTGATATCATAAGATACAATCACAGGTAATGCGAGTATAGAAGCCACTTTAAGGCTACCACAACTCAAGCAACTTTTGTGATTACACTTTATATATATATCAGAAAACTAGTCCAAATTAAATTAACGAAGAAAAGGCTTATGAAATACGCTTATAATGTACATAACTTTTATGTTTCTACAGCTCAGTTTCTTGTTAGAAGATTAAACAAACAAAATTTCAGTGTTATGGCCATTAAAGCAAAACCAAAGAAGTTCTATCCTATATTGGGTTAAGGGACTTCACTTCCTGTTGGGGACAAAATTGTGATTGAAAAGTAATCTATCTAGGGTTTCAGTTGTGCTCAGTGAATGGGCACTTTATTGTTAATTGGTGGCTTGCGGCCAGGCCTAGCATGTCCGCTGTAATCTTTGTGCATTAGGTTCACAATTTCTTTAGTTGCATCAAGAAGCCTTTGCATTTCACCTTTTGGAAGAGTACTACTGCCTTGAGGTTCCTGATCCATGTCAACCCTTGAAGGTCGACTTTCCCAGCTGGTTTTGGTTGGCAATGCTTTGGAATCCTGAGAGAGCTCGGGGTCGGACTTTGGGAGATTGATTGTCTCCGTCCTTGGAGTTCCCAATCTGGCGGACAATGTCTTTCTCTCCAAATTGTTCATATCCTTCTGCTGTGCAAAAACAAAAAAAGTTATTGTTGAGTTGATAGAGCATACATTAAATTTATAGCACGAGTTTATGTTAAAGAGAGAAAGGTACGTTGGGAGGGAGACCTTATTATTATTCAATTGATCGTTTGATACCCCAAGAGACTTGTCTAAAGCATTCTTCTCGTTACCTGCAGTCAGAGATAGCATGAAGAAAATATTCAACATATTTTAGCCCAAGCCACTTCTCAAGATTTGGAACTGAAGCTTTAAGCAAATATATGTAGTCTGATCACATGGATATAAGTAAGAAATTAATCAATGAACTGCTATACTGTAACTAAAACACAAGAACCCTAATTAAGAATTAATTGCATTAAATTCCTTGAAGCTTCAAAATTATACATGGCACCACACATGTTTGCTAACTAGGATACCTACAAGCCGAGAATTGCAGAAAAGGGGATCTAACTAAAAGGGTTTCAGTGCTTTTCTCAGTTATGCTTCGGAGGGTGTTGTTTAGGTGCTCTATAATCATCACCGAAAGCTACAAAACCAGGCCCTTTGATCATTTTAGGAGAGTTCCTTTTGGCTCTAAGTTTACACCTTACATTTAAATCTCCCTTTACTTGAAAGTCACATTTGACATTAGAGTAGTTTGCACCTGAATCATCTACTGGAGCTCCTCCATGAAGGCCTTGCTCTTTCTCAATTTCTCTCCTTGTCACTTTCTGAACTGCCATTTTCCTTCCTCCAAAAGCTGTCTTCCTTGTGCTAGCAGTGCTGCTGAAACCATTAAGTTCCTGTACATGAAATGCTCAGGTTAAGCAGCTTAAATGTATACATGTAGAGAGTGGAGAATATTTTGCTGAGTTTAATTAGACCATCGCAAGAGACTTGAGAGTTACAAGTTTACCTTATGAGCAGGCACATCAATTTCTTCTGGCCCCAGTAGCTCATATTTGTTCATTTCCCAATCTACAAAATGAATTCAAATCAAGATCAAATAAATCTTATTTTTCATCAGGACTAATAGAAGGGAAGAAATAAATAATTATATACCTTGATGATCATGAGCAGAAGAGCCCCATATAGCATTCATCACATACAGCAGCTCTAGTACTATGACTAAAAACCTTTTGTACACCATCTTTTGATTCTTATTCTCTTGAGTATATGCTTGTTTTTCAAGAATAGAAAGGGAGGAAACTTGGAAAACATGGTGTAGGTTTTATAGAGAGTTCAAACCAAGTCAAAGCTAGGGTTCCAACACTATACTACATAAAATATTACAGCTCCCTGGCTACAAGCAGAACTAGGGAAACTCAAAAGAAAATTAAAAACAAATAACCAAATTAAATAAGTTGTTAAAATGAGAAATTAATTAATAAAGAAACTATATGTCTTGCAAGAGCTTGAAAGTGGTCTCCTGGGTTGAATTGAAGTATTGAACCAAAGCTAGTCACGAGGCCTGCCACGATATTCTGACATATTATTGGATGTTTTATGAGCACATATATTTACTGTCATGCATGCAACGAGGGATTTGAATATATAT